ATTTTTGACTGTCGGGATTTTTTTGTCGGGATTATGACCTGTCAGGATTGTGCTTGTCGGGATTTTGACCGGCACCCCGTATATTAATCGTCTTTTAACTCACATTCACTTACGTACGTACAGTAAATATAAGATATACATAGTATGCGATAATTAATCATACGCACGTTAAAACAAAATAAAAATTTTCGTATTAGTACATACGAATATTTTAGTAAATTCGAAGCTTTTTCTTTAATACATGAGTGACATCAAAAAAAAAAACCAAACTTTGTTATTAAACATCAGTTCAATCCTTGAAAAACATGTATAATTAAGACGTTAAATCGTCGTTAAATTATAAATTTACAAACTCGATTCCTGATTTTCTCTTGGTGTCACTCACATATTAATATTCAGTTTTTTTTTATAATGAACTTATAATAAAAACATAAACATTAATTCAAATCATAATATCAGTATTTGTCATGCAAGCAAATTCAAGCATATTAAACTTAAGCGCCAAGTCAAAAAATTCACGAACCCAAACTTGTATATTAATTTTATTTAGCAATAGAATGTAAATTCATTAATGCTAATGTAAGAAATTTTTCCATTATCAACAATGATAATAAAAGATTATGTCGTAAAACTAGTTTTTAAAATGCAATGGATGTAAAGAAATTGAATCCATGTCTAAAGTTAAAAAAATAACAGTAAACATGATTTGTTAGATATCGAATTGAAGGAAAAAATTTTCTATTTTGTTTGAACATTAGAAAAGATGTTGCTAAGACGCAAGATCTATCGAATTACAAAATCGATAATTATAGTATTATAAAAAAAAAAATTTTGAAATGTTTACCTTTTCTATTTGATGCAATTTATTGTTTCGTAATTTCGCTTTTACCATCTTGTATATGTCACACCCGAGTTTTTCATGAGTATAATGACCTCTCATCGTATAGTTTTAAGATAAAATTGGGATATAAAACATGTTGGTTTTAGAATTTCTTAATTGATTCCTTTACTAATTCAGCTTCTGGTTCCTGATAATTTTATCATTATAAAACAAGCTCATATTATGATTTTAAAAAAATTTATATATTTACTTGAATTCAGGGTTTACTTAATCAAATTAAAATTCTTCGACCAATTAAAATTCTTCAATGTAGAATATATTATTCATATTTTTTGCAACAATCGAATATAAAGAAAGAAAATGCTGACATAAAATCAATCATAACAAAAGTTGAGGGTGTGACCAATTATTATGACGAATAGGAATCAATTATTATAATTAATTAATTCTTATTCGTCACGCCAATGATTGGTCACACCCTCAAATATTCAAGTCAAATATTTGAATTGAAATATCGATCAATGCATTAAATATATAATCGTACGTTTAAGTATAATTTTTCTTTTTTTTTTTTAATAACTGTACGTACATAACTAACTTATACTATCGTACTGTACTAATTTACTATATACCCGATAATTAATCATACATATTTAGACCAAAAGTTAAAATTTTATACAATAACGCTGGTGAAACTGGTGACTATCTAAAATTTAATTGGCTTTTATATTAAATTTCACCAGTTTCACCACAATTCACCATCCATATGGGCGGATTTTTTTGTGTTACTTTCAAAACCGATCTAATTCTGGTCAAATTTGCAGATTATTTGGCCCTGGCTTATCAGTTTTAAAACAGATAAACCAGGGCCAAATAATCTGCAAATTTGACCAGAATTAGATCGTTTTTGAAAGTAACACAAAAAAATCCGCCCATATGCATTCACCAAGAGTTTCACCAGTTTCACCAGCCTCAAGAATTGCATATTACCGTATAAACGCGGAATAACGCCCACCTGCGCGTTAATTAATTAACCTGTGCGTTATTTCGAATACGCCCATGTGCGTTATTTCGAAAAATAAACACCTCTTCATTATAAGAAGTATATTAAGAAATGAAAGTGCACTTGAACTGGATTTTATACTAAATAAACCTGCTTTTACCATTGTTATAATTGCCTTAGTATAAAGAACAATTTTTGTTAGATCGCGAAAGCAGGTTTACTTAGTACCAATCGTTTTGAAGCACTTTTTATTCTTTATTTTTTTAGAGGAATGCGCGTTAATTCAGGACGCACATGGGCGTTAATTCGAAACTACGTATACTATTTTTAAGGTTCCGATTTTCAAAATAACGCCCACGGGCGTTATTCCGCGTTTATATGGTATTTCCATGATTTAGATACAGTAATTTAAAAAATAATTTGTATCCTTGCATTGGGCAAGACCGCAAGACGCGTTTGTCGAGGCGAATTTTGGACATAAAAAGTTTAAATATTTAGTAAATTTTATTTAACATTAAATTTTGATGCATATTTAATAACGAAAATATTTCTTCATGGATAGCAATGACTAATGATATTGGTAATGAATTATGGGAAGCATGCTGGATCAATTTTAAAACCTTTCCAAACGAATTAAAAAAAAAAAAATCAAATGATACAGTTGCACTAATATCTCGAGGAAAAGCTTACTTAATTATAGGCAGATACAAAGAAGCGTGAAGATTTAACTGGATTAATTGGATCACTAATAAAAGAGGGAGAAGATTTAACAGATTGCTAACAGAAGAGAAAGAAGATTTAGCTGGCTTAATTAGATCACGAATAAAACAGGAAGATTTAGCTGGTTTAATTCGACTGCTAATGAGAAAGGATGATGAGGAATGGGACGAGGAGGTGAAGAATGGAACGCGGATGAGGATGAATGGAACGAGGATGAGGAAGAAGAATATGATGAGAAAAGGGGAGAAGAGGAAGAGAATGATGGTGATGATGATGATGAGAAAGAAGATAACTTAATTAGATGGCGAATAAAAAAGGAAGAAGAGGATGATGAGAAAGGGAAAAAAAAGAGGATGATGAGAAAGGGAAAAAAGAAGAGGATGATGAGAAAGGGAAAAAAGAAGAGGATGATGAGAATGGGAAAAAAGAAGAGGATGATGAGAATGGGAAAAAAGAAGAGGATGATGATAATAATGAGGAAAAGGAAGAAGAGGATGTGGATGATGATAAGGAGAAAAAAAAAAAGTGATAAAAAAATTGGAAAAATCATTTACAAACTTAATAAAATTAAAGAAATCGTTAGTATATCACTAAGATATCGAGGAGAAAAAATTGTATGATAGAAAGGTATAGAGAATCAATTGCTGACTTGAAAACTTATTAAAAATTAAACCAGATGATGTATGGGCAAAAAAAGCTTATAAATTAGTTAACGAATTGTAAGTATAATGTACTTATAAAAATTAGTATTTTTTAAAAAAAACATAAACTTATATAGTTTAAATACTCACACCAGTCTGTAAGTAATTGGAGTCTGAAAACTCGAACATTTTAAATCAAAAATGTCGATTATATTCCAACAGAAATAATATAACATTAGCCAATCAACATACAATACAATACTCTATATTACGACAGTGAGTGAGTAATACGGAATAAGAAAATTATGTATATTAGGCCATACAAATTAATTTTTTGTTTCTCATAACATTAAATTTAAAAAGTGACCCGGCCGGCTGGCTTTTTTTTTAAATTTATATATAAAATTTTATAAAATTTTATAAAAAAATTTTTTTGTAACTCCACCCGGCTATTAAAACATAAGGTGGGTGCGGGTATTATGGCGAATGTGGGTATTGTGGCGAATTGAACATATAACAAGGAAACAGGATTTTTT